GTGATCTAAGATGTTAAAACACTCATCAGAACAAAGAGTGCGACATTGTGGAGAGTTATGTCTAGACGTCTTAAAATGTGAGAGGTCCTATCACTGACCAAGTGCTTACTTACGCGTGTGGATAAATGCCGAGTGGTTTCGCCAACATAGTAGGCGTTACAGCCCGCCCATAAACCACAAACGTACAGAGCCCACAAGGCATTGGGTCTTTCACACCAAACATATTACCTATTTTAAAAGATGAAAAATCCAACTTAACATCGATGTTGTTACAATAACGCTTCACAAATTGGCGAGCCCTTTTTTGCTTGACCACAGTAAAGGGCCAATGTAAGGTAATTAAAATAAAAGGTAGGCGTAGGGTCTGAAACGGAGACCGGGAGATTGCACTCATTATGGGTGAGCGTCAGGTACCGATTGACAACCCTTTCAACCAGATGGGCTGGAAAAAGATTCTTTTCAAGGATTTCAGTGAGTTTCTTGATGTCTTCGTGGAAACCCGACCATGCGTTGTTGATCTTGTAGACTCTATCAACAAGAGCGCAGGTGAGACCCAGTTTGTAGGGATAAGGTATAAAACTAAAATAATTAGTCTACAGGCCCGTGAAGATTTTCTTACGGTAAACACTTGTGACAGAAAAATGGGTCTCGTTGTTGATTAAAACATCGAGGAAAAAATACCACTCCTTAAACTCGATATATGACATATACTGTGCTTTGGATAAAAGTCAGCGGGTCTTTTTTAACTTCTTGGCTGGACTCCTGAAACTATTTATAAATAAATATATTTGATGTTAATAAAATCAGTATGCATCGTTGTTTATGAATACGAACTTTCAAAAAGTTTAAACGCTTACCTAATTTTTAAAATGTACTATGGGCCTTACAATTTTACAAAAGTATAATACAATATGTTCATACAAGTAAAATCCACAAATGTATGCGTTATGTGACGTGTTAAGTTCCCTAAAATCCCTGAGTTACAAGTTATTGGCATGGAGGTACATCATCGGAGAACAACTTCTTTTAAAGCGCTCGGTTTTGTCATAACGAACGGCCTGTCATTGTTACATAGGGAGCGCTCATGCACCCGTTATCAGATCCGTGGAATCACGCTTTTTTATCTTGGTGAATAGTTTGCTTCCTTGTGGTAAGTGACATACACTCAGCAGTTACTACCTTATTTTTTAATTACTAGTGGAGTCGTTTCTTGGAAGTACATCTTTAATTGGAGAATCGGTGAAAGATTCGTGTGATTCTACCGTTATTTAAAAAGGCTAACTCTGATAGTTTAAAAGAGCTGAAAATCGTGACAAAATGCAGAATTGTACCCTCTTTCTGTATGAAATCCTTAATTATAATCGACTCACATTAGAGTCCCAGAGTTCTGAGAAATATACGGGAGGAGAGATGAAAAGAAAGATCTCTTTAAAAGGGAATAATAATGCTAAAAATAATAAAACATATGAAGAAGTCCGATATATTCTACAGAAAAAGTTTAATTTCCGGAAGCAGCAAGAGGCTTTTCAGAATGAAACGTGCGAGTGCTTTTGGTGAAACCGAAGTTTTATATTTTTTCGCTAAGTTCGCGTTGGCTACATGTTCGCTTCATGTTCGCTTCATGTTCGCTTCATGTTCGCTTCATGTTCGCTATATTTAACTAAATGTTCGCTTCATGTTCTAAATATTCAACTTCGAGCTCGCTACATCAGCAAACCCCCTGAATAACTTTTCAAATTACAATAATTAATAATTACTGCAATCTCTAAATACCTTCTACTCGTAGCTTCGGTCGCCAAAATGTACTCTAATTGTACGGCCAGCAACTCACCTCATCTGCTCAAGATTCTAGATATAAGTAACTAGATTTGAAATGGTAGCAAGACAACGTATGGAAATGTTTTCGTTAGTTAAGATATTCGTAGCAAATTACACTTAGACAAGAAATGTTCTCCCGAGCATAAACTTTGCGTTCTAAACTTAGGCGTAGACTTACAACAACAAACGATCGAGATTTACATGAGTATGAATATTACCTATGAAAGTTAGAAACTCCAGACATAAATTTTTAAAGTTACATAATTGTACAAGTGGCTGGGTGCCAATATATTGTAAACTCTCCTTAGTTCTGTGGTAAATAAAGTATTGAAATAGTCTTCCTCATAATGTTGGTGAGATCGACTTAGGTGTAGCGAACTTCGGCCGCGGCAGTTATCGGGGGTAGGGGGGACGCTTACTCGTGTAAACACTGAATTCAACGTGACGAGAAACTACAACGCTCAAAACGTCCGCTTCTAAACTCTTTGCGATGGCCAATATACGTTATCCACTCAGTCGATAATTCTAAATTACCCTGTTATACTCTCCCACCGACGGAGCATCACAGTTTCTTTAGAAACTTACCCCCTTATTCATTTGAAATATTACTTAGCTACGAAAGTAAAATTACACGTCAAAATGTCTGTTAAGACTCTCCAAGTTTACTGTTTGCAATCCTCGTTCCTTTGTAAATCATAATTACCCCATTTTTGGTTGACAAAGGAAAGAGAGTGTAGAGTAAGGAGAGTGAAGGTATGTGATATCTCAACACGGCTGAAAATGAATTACAACCACAACCTACTAATGACAAAAACGAATCTTTCGTGAGACAAATTTATCTAAAGACTTTATTTCAAAATGAATCAATAAATAATCACGTGTATAGTGAAGACATATGTAAGTCAACCACTATTATATGACCGCCTAGCTCAGGAATAGAATACTTTATCTTAGTCCTCAATTCTGTTCCTGCACTTTAGATCATAATACAACAAAGATTAAATATGTAGACCCCAAGGCCATTATGATGAAAAAGTATCACAAAAAGGTTCCGGTTCTAGGTGTCACAGCTGAAGGGGTTTAAGCCTTTTTCTTTAACCTCAAATAAAAAATTACCCTGCCAAAAATTTAACCCAGGATCTAATGAAAATTAATGCACCTACATAACCGAAAAATGTGCACGTCCACTGATGGACTCACATCCCCATCTCGGTGGATTTGATTCAACCTCCTCTCCCCACCCCACCCCCTATAACAGAAAGAGGAAATAAATTCTGAAAATCAAAATATTCCGTCATTTTCCTTCCTCTGACAATAGCATTCTTGATCCTTCTTTGTATCGATATGTGTCATTACGTCATAGATTCGAATTAAACTTTGGTATAAATGTTGGCTTCCCTCTAAATCTTCGTTTGCAGTGAAGGGAGATATGATGAAAACAAACATTCACGTATGTTGGAAATGAAAACTTGCCAAAATTGACTGCTACCATCCTCCCAGAGTGAAGGGCTAACGTCCACCCAACCCACCCCACCGATGCAGCACCGCAGTTTCTTCAGAACCTTAACCCCCCCCTCCCTACCCCCTATTCAAATGCACGATAGCTTATTTAATAGCTCAGCTCAGTTCCTCTTCTTTCTAAAACTGAATAAGTCAAATAAACCAAATCCTCTACGACGAAATATGACTTCTTGCAAGTTGAGAAAGACAACACTTAAATTACTATGGAGAACTTATTTTATTAGCACGTACACGTAAGGAATATGGTTTCCTGTGATTCTGATTTACGACAAATTTTGTTTCAGGAGCTTCCCGAAAAAAGGGTTCGTTTACAAGGTTGAGTGAATTTCGGGTGGCAGCATCAGTAAAATATTAATATTTTTGTGCAGGCGCAGAATTTCCTGCAACCCTTAATTTTCGATCATTTATTCGGTAGCTATGGTAAAGGTAGAGCCCTCTAAAGATACCTTACATCAGTGCCATTTTCATTCCGGCTCTTTTCTTAACTTGTCGTTAGGCGTAACGGCCCATGGAAATGAAAAAAACACTGTCTTGTTAACTGGTTCAATCTTCGAGTTCGATTTATAGTTTTTCTTGGTGTTGCGTAAACTAAAGCCGGAGAGAAGTTTCGTTTTCGAATAATCATTATTCACTGACCTTCAATCTGTTGCGCGTATTAAGCCATTTGATTATCACTTTATCCAGAAAACCAAGAAGCACTTTATCTAATTCTGTGATAATTTGTTTTTCATTTAGTTCAGTTAATAACATTTGCGTAGTCTCGTGTTTGTTTTGCAATCGCATTGAAAAAAAAACCATTGAATTTCGGAATGTTTATTTTATTTGAACAGTTTGCCGGTCTTCAATTTCTTGATATGATGTCATTAGCTTGGTAGATTCGAAAAAAAAAATATGAAAATGAAATTGTAAAACAGCGTCGGATTTAACTCAAAAATGTATTTCATAGATACAGCTGAGTAAAAAATGTCTGTATTCGAGTCACATGGCCCACCCGGCTATAGTTTAACTCGGTTCCCTTAGCATGATGGGATGCTAGTACATCGCGAGATTACCCCCCCCCCCAGCATTTCATAAGTCTTCCCTAATAATTACTTGGTACCCTTTTATACTCCTGGGTGGAAAGAGGTACTGTGAGAATAAAGTGTTTTGCCCAGGAACACAACACAATACCCGGTCAGGTCTCGAACCCAGACCTCTCGAAACGAAATCCAGTGCACTGCCTATTGGGCCATCGCGTCCGAAGATAGATCAAAAAAATGGTCGTTTCAAGTTAAACTGCCATATCAGCGTGACCTATTTTTCATTTCAACCAATTTATCCCTTCCCCTTCGTCCTTCCTTGTTTTCAACCTCTTGGGGTTAATTAAGAAATAGTTGCTAATAACAAAGAGAATCAACCACAGCCTTTGAGTTAATCATTTGTTTTATTTTCCAGATAACGAGGCTTGAAATTCTACATTAAGCACAGCGAAAAAAAAAACCCTTACATTAGCAATCCAGCATTTTCCTTCACCCAACCCAGATTATGCTGGCAAAATAAGACTACTTCCTCAAATCTTTTCCATCTGATCCGGAGGAAGACAGGTCAGATGTGTTTCACTTCGATTCTGCAATAAGAAAAAAAAAACAAAACAAAACAGAACACCACCGTGATAAACCAAAGGCTAAAGTTTGTTCTATAGCTGAATTGCATTTTCGAAGTTCCACCCATTTAAGTCAATTTATCTTGAAATTGGAAATCTCTCCTACCGCTGTCCTCGTTTTCCTTTTGAACTCCTTATCTCATTAAAAAGTAAAAGCCTCTATACAGGCCCAAGTGGCCCATGGGGCCGGCACTTAGCTCCAGTTTCCTTTGCATGAAGCGGCTAGGAGTATTGCTATTATTGAGATAAACCTCTGTGACTCTTTTTTAAAAAAAGAATGCTCATCACTACACGTAAATTAGAAAGAGAATTAAATATATCATTAAAAAGAAACACAAAATTTCAAAACCTTTTAGAAATTTTTTTTCTGGCAGCAGAATCAAAATGGTAAATTTTTCACTTCTTGAGCATTATGCATACCTGGACAGACTTTGCAACTTTCAGGGCAATTGAACAACATGTACCCTGGATTTTTTTGGCATTCACCGCTCGATGCCCAGGATTTACAATGTTCGTTCTTATCCTGGCAAGCTGACGGAAAAAAGTAAAGCAATATACATGTACGTGCATCGCTCAATCTTATCAGATTTCATCAACATTTCTGTTTGAATCATATTCCCCTGAATCAGGATCTCATCATGCCTGGTAACCCATGCTACCGGACCTTTTCTTTTTTCCTAATTTCGCCTTCCCACTCGTTCCTTGTGAATTAATTCCCATGCAAGTCATTTCAGTGAGAGAAAGAGCTGTAATTACGAGGGCCTATACAGAGGATTGCATTTAAATTCAACGAGAACTCATCCATTGTGGTATATGGCATGCGCTAATAAACGCAAAAGGTCTCTTTGTTTGAAGTCTTTACACAAATCACCCAAATTTAATGCTGAACCGTCATGGTGACAACAAAGAAAGCTAACAGTTATATAGAGGTGTCCATCGGGGAAGGAGTCGGGGGGAGGGGGGAAGAGCTTGAACGTTTTTTGAAGAATATCACTACGATTGAAAAGGCAGGGAATTCCCATTGGTGTATATAAATTGGCAGCAGAATCAAAATGTAAGCATAAGAAAGAGAGAAAAAAGCATGACGTGGATCTATTATTACAAAATTTTAAAACGTTATGGGTAATCTATTTCACTTCTTAAGCATCATGCATACCTGGACAGACTCCACAACTTTTGGGGCAATTGAACAGCATGTACTTTGGATTTTTTTCCGCATTCACCGTTAAATGCCCAGGATTTACAATGTTCGTTCTTGTCCTCGCAAGCTGACGGAAAAAAAATAAAGCAATATACTTGTAAGTGCATCGCTTAATCTTATCAGATTTCATCAACATTTCTGTTTGAGTCACATTCCTCTGAATCAGGATCTCTTCATGCCTGGTCACCCGTGAAGCCGGACCGTTGCTATTAAATTCAACCAGAACTCACCCATTGTGGCTTATGGCATACGCTAATATACGCAAAAGGCCTTTTACTTTGGTGTCTTTACACGAATCATTCAAAGAAAGCTAACAGTTATGCAGATGTGGCCGTCGGGGCAGGAGTAGGGGAGGTGGTGAAAAAGTATTTTTGAATAAAAAAAACTATGATTGAAAGGTCAGGGATGCCCATTTGTGTGTACAAAATGGCAGCCGAATCAAAATGCAAGCACAAGAAAGAGATAAAAGAGCATTACATGGATCTATCATTACAAAATTTTAATTATGGGTAATCTATTTCACTTCTTGAGCATCATGCATACCTGGACAGACGCCGCAACTTTTGGGGCAATTGAACAGCATGTTCTTTGGATTTTTTTACACATTCACCGTGAAATACCCAGGATTTACAATGTTCGTTCTTATCCTCGCAAACTGACGGAAAAAAGTAAAGCAATATACATGTGAGTACATCGCTTAATCTTATCAGACTTCATCAACATTTCTGTCTGAATCACATTCCCCAGAATCAGGATCTCTTCATGCCTGGTCACCTGTGCTGCCGGACCGTTTTTGTTTTCCTAATTTCGCCTCCCCACTCGTTCGTTGTGAATTAATTCCCATATAAGTCATTTCAGTGAGGAGAAGAGCTGCAATTAAAAGGGCCTTTATTGAGGGTTGTAATTAAATTCAACGACAACCCACCCATTGTGGTATATGGCATACGCTAATATAGGCAAAAGGTATTTTGCTTTGATGTCTTTACACGAATCATCCAAAGAAAGCTAACAGTTATGCAGATGTGGCCATCGGGGGAGGAGTAGGGGGGAGAGGTGAGATCGGAGGGATGGGGTTGGTGAAAAAAGTATTTTTGAATAAAAACACTATGATTGAAAAGTCAGGGAATGCCCATTGGTGTATATAAATTGGCAGCAGAATCAAAATGTAAGCACAAGAAAGAGAGAAAAAAAGCATGACATGGATCTATCGTCACAAAATTTTAAAACGTTATGGGTAATCTATTTCACTTCTTAAGCATCATGCATACCTGGACAGACTCCGCAACTTTTGGGGCAATTGAATAGCATGTACTTTGGATTTTTTCCGCATTCACCGTTAAATGCCCAGGATTTACAATGTACGTTCTTATCCTCGCAAGCTGACGGAAAAAAAGTAAAGCAATATACATGTAAGTACATCCCTTAATCCTATCAGACTTCATCAACATTTCTGTTTAAGTCTCATTCCCCTTAATTCAGGATCCCTTCATGCCTGGTCACCAGTGCAGCCAGACCGTTTTTATTTTCCTTCTTTCGCCTCCCCACTGGTTCTTTGTGAATTAATTCCTATGTAAGTCGTTTCAGTGAGGAGAAGAGCTGTAATTTTTTGTATTTTAGGCGGTAAGACAGCCGCAGTGCAATGGCTGCCGACCCTAACGACTATAAAATACCCAAAGCAACAAAGAAAAAAAAAACTTAAAATACCGCCAAGGTGAGGGCACCCCCATACGGGGCCGGCCCACCAAATTCGCCGGGGAGTCGTGTGTTTTGAGCGAAAAAGATCGTCAAGTGATCAAAACAACACCGGCCAGATTATGGTCACGTGCTCGGCAACGACTTGTAGAAACCGATCATAATTCATTCTTACCATCAGAACAGTCACGATTGCATAGAAAAATAACAAAACGAAACGACTATAACGAAAAGACCGAAATTGGCGTAAACGAAAGAAATTATGCTGTAAATTAACATTTCTTTTATGTCATGGGTGAAGTGTGGACGTCTTGTATTCTGCAGCATACACCTTTATTGATATCTGACGGGCTATACCAGCAACTAAACTACTCGCTACATCTAGTTACAAGCTCGGCTTTTATAGGTACGGTTGAGGATCTAGAACGTTCCGTAACATTACAATAGATTCTATTTATATATTGATTCAGGGATGACACAGCTACTTCTAAAACATTCTGGAAGATCACACAACAATGGGTACATGTTTCCGTGGGATTTCCAATTTCCATGTCAACAGCTCTCTCTGTCACTCACAAACACTTCGTGATTCTCGCTGCTCCTCGTTATGTTTAGCGAATGGACGATTCGAAGATCCTTCAAATTTGCGACTAATTACGAGGAGTTCACGCCAATTTGCATATCCCAAAGTCCCCACAACAACTCGTTCCTGCGCTATCGCGTATCCACGAGTTAAAAATAAATAAGGCATAACATATTTTTAAACTTTAAGACTAGGCCTAGTTAAAAATTAGCCAGGTACCATAAAAAACAACAAGAAAAAAAATGGCTTCCAGCAGTTCCAGAAGTTCTCATATTAATTGTGATGCAACACAACAGCGATGCTAACTGAGTGTAATTGTGACATTTTCCGAGCATTAAGAAATAAACTAATGATGTAAAATATCGAGCATAATGTGGCGAACCCTAGCCTTGGTCACCGAGCTGATTAAAATTTCCTAGATCACACCCCACCATTCTCCAATGTAGAAAGTTTTCATGGGGTAAGGAGCTGTAACCAACCAACTCCAGCTCACAATCTCTCCTCCTTCGCATTCAGA